CTACCCTTTCTTCTTTTAGACCTTAGACTCTCGGTCTTCTTTTGTTTTCCTACTGTGGGAAAAGAGTAACTTTTAATTAATCAGTGATAAGTCGATGGAGCATCATTCCTTTGGGGCCTCAGAACCACACTGAGTGCTCTATGATCCCATTTTTCTCGAGTATGGGATCAAAATTAAATAGTTTCATGGTTTATTACTATGGTTCTCACTCCAGTGATAAAGCCCAATCTTTTTTTTTTTTTTTTTTTAATCACAGAGAGCCCAAATTCTTCTCACCAACCCACTCTTCCACTGCTTTAATGCAGAATCTTTCAAGGTAGGTTTTGGTGGCTGGTAGGAAACAAAGGTATCAGACAGAGCAGAACTGCACCCAGAGATGGACATTTCCTAATCATTCATATGGAAAGATAGGGATCTGAAATACTAGGAATGCTCAATTACTTGCACACAGCCACGGGGTTGAATAGCTACAACTACATAAACAAGCAGCAGTAACAGTAATGACTTGTCTTCCTATTATGAAGCTTCATCTTGGTATAGAAGTTGAGAAAAAAAAATTCTTCGTTCTTTTAGTGTTCTGTTCAGTAGAAGTTGGGATATTTTAAAGAGCTGAAACTTATTAGGAAACTTTCACTTCATCTTCCTGATGCTGAGATGCCTACATTTGATAATCTGTCCAGAGTTAGGAGCAGATCTGAATTACTATGGTTCTGCAGAAAAATCGCCCAATAGGAAGGTTTCAAGAAACATGACTGGATTTGGGCAGGTTGACAGGCCTTCTGTAGTTCTTGCTGTTCTTGTATGCTGCCCTACTCTCTCCTCCAAGTTGCCAAGCAGAATGGGCGAAGGGCTGGGTGCCAAAGAAAGAAGAACAGGTGGGAATGAACGGTATCCCTTGGTGAACTCCCCTCCCTGTCTTCCCAGCTGCTCTGAGGATTCTGCAGGCAGCTCCAGACTGACTACATTTCCATTTTGCTCACCAAGCTGTTGGCTGCTGTGGAACGGACTCAGCTTAGCAGGGAAGTGGGAGCTATCCGACTGTGTATCTGCAACACCAACTATTTCAGATGCTTCCTAATATACGAATGTGTGATGTTCCTCGCTGCTTTCTATCACAGGCTGTCAGAATGGATGGGCTGTGTGGTGATGTGTTTCTGGCTGAAAAGTTATTATGTAGTGGGGGTGGGGATGATCAGCAGATGGGCAGGAAGGAAGGCTAACAAAGGTATTTGTAGGTAAATGTTTCCTGTAGACACTCTAAGAATGTGTTTTTAAATTTTCTCCCTGTCCTTTGAAGGAGTAAAAAAAATCCATATCTGAGTAACTTGGCACATTTTGTTGAATTTTTTATCACAAATAGAATTCAGGCTTTGATTTCAACTGTCTGCTCCCTCCCTCACTTTCAATTTTGAAGAGCCTGGGAGAGGGAAGAGAGAGAACCTGGGATTAACCTATGGTAGGGTGTAATGTCTTTCTAGGATAGGAACTGTTTCGGATATTATGCATTATGGGTGTTTTGTCTACATGTATGTCTGAGCATCATTTGCATATCTGGTTCCCACAAAAGCCAGAAGAGAGCATCAGGGTCCCTAACACTGGAGTTACAGATGTTTGTGAGCCCCTATGATTGTGGATGGTGGGAATCAGACCCTGCTCCTCTGGAAGAGCAGTCAGGGCTCTTAACTACTGAACCATCTCTCCAGTCCCAAGAACAAGCATTGTATTCTTTGCCCATAGGTTATACTTTAAGGTAGCAAGAAACTCATAAGGTCAGCCAGGGAAAATGAAATCAAATAAGTACTAATTCTATCAGGGCAGGGGGATAAAGGGAGTTTCAAAGAGCTTGGGCAAGGTTATATGTATTTCCAATCTTAACTCCTTCCCAATAGTTCCTAGAAGCAAACCTCCTAGGCGGAAGTCTAAGAGCCCCCACTTCTCACCTCTTCTGGTATTTGAGAAAGGATTTTATGATAGTCTAGAATCATGTGGAAGTCATTATATATCCCAGGCTCATCTCAGTCTCACAGCAGTCTTTCTGCCTCAGGCCTCTGGGTGATGAAATATATGACATTTTACACACACACACACACACACACACACACACACACACACACACGAGACACACCAGATGAGAATCTTAAATCTTATGTCTAAGTCAGGTCATTTCTGAGGACCCAAGTGAATGACAATATCCAAATATCCATGCAGTTGAAAAATCACTATGACTGAATATCTAGACAATTTCACTGTCTCTGAGGTGTATAAGGGGAATGAACTCTGATGAGTCTACCAAGAATCCACTGCCCTACAGACACATGGTCTTTTACTTTAGCTGTTTGGTTTTGGGGTGCTATTTGTCTTTCTTGAATGCAGTAAATCTTTCCCAACCTCCTCTAGTCACTCTCCAGAACATCCTCTTGGTTCTTGGTTGTACCTAATTCTGTGGAAGACACAGAAGGTGGAGGTGCTGAGTCCTTTACTAGATAACTTTAGTGCGGCAGATGACTCCCTCTCCCTACCCGAATCACTTTTAGCTAATTTATTTCTGTATTGATTTGAGATAAAGAAGCAGCTATGAAGCTAGAGATGGCCTCTCACTTCAGATATTCTACTTACAAGGTATATTAAATGTCCTTTTTTTCTGAGCTTATCTATGAATTGAGTCAGTGCTTTTCTCTGTGAGTTGAGTGAAGGGGCCATGGTATTATGAAGAGAAGCCCCTGCCTTGCAATGAGGCACATGAATAGCCCTTTTTCTGTTTTAAAGGAAGAAATGAAGCATCTAGTCCTACCTCCAAGTTTAATGCTTGCTGTTATCTGCTCCATCCTTATGCAGCACGAACATAGAGGAGAGGATCACAAAGGAAGGCAAATAAGTGGCTTACTTGAAGGAAGTAGACACATTAATGGGGGAGTATGTTAGTTTCTTATTACTATGATATTATTCCATAATAAACTACTATAAACTTAGCAACTCAAAACAACCATCGTTAAGTAGACCTAGTGGCACAGGTCTATAATACTAGTGAGCAGGAGGTTGAGAGAGGAGGCTCACAAGTTTGAGGTCCACCTAGGCAACTTAGTAAGATTCTGTGTCAGAATAAAATATAAAAAGAGGGCTGGTGATACATCTCAGACATTTGCTTAGCAAGTGTAAAGCCCTAGGTTCAATCCAGTACCACAAAACTAAAACCCACAACCCCTCCAATATTATCTTGCAACATTGTGTCAACAGTGTGAATCTGTGTCCTTTGTTCAGAGTCCCACTAGGCTAAAAATTAAGGTGTCGCCTGCTATGCTGCCATTTGAGGCTTGGGTTTCTCTTTGAAGCCTAACAGTTCTTGGGAAAAAAATGGCTTTTGGAGGATAAAGAACTTGGGTTCTCAGTATCTATAGGCTACCCGTTGTTTCCCATCATCAGATTTTCTCCACAATGTGGCACTTTTTACTCTTTGACTCTTTTGGGGGCTCACCACCCAGCTCCCAAATAAAGACACACAGAAGCTTATTCTTACTTATGGAAGCCTGTCCTTAGCTTGACTTGTTTCTTGCCAGCTTTTCTTAAATTAACCAATCTACCTTTTGCCTCTGGGCTTTTACCTTTCTCTATTCTCTATACCTTTCTTTCCTTCTTACTCTTTTGCTGGCTGTGTGGCTGGGTGGCTGTGTGGCTGGGTGGCTGGATGACTGGGTGACTGGGTGGCTGGGTGGCTGGGTGGCTGGGTGACTGGGTGGCTGGGTGGCTGGGTGGCTGGGTGGCTGGGTGGCTGAGTGGTAGGGTGGCTGGGTGGCTGGGTGGCTGAGTGGCTGGCCCCTGGCTTCCTCCTTCCTCCCTTTCTCACTCCTTTCTCATCTCTTCTATTTATTCTCTCTGTCTGCCAGCCCCGCCTATCCCTCTCCTTCCTAGCTAGTGACCATTCAGCTCCTTATTAGACCAATCAGAGTTTTAGACAGGCAAAGTAACACAGCTTCACAGAGTTAAACAAATGCAACATGAAAGAATGCAACACATTTTTTTTGCATCATTAAACAAATGTTCCACAGCAGAAACGTAGCACACCTTAAACTAATTTTCCACAACATCGGGTGCCGACTTCTATCGTTTTATAACTTATTTTGGGGAACAATTTTTTACTGAATCTGGAGCTCACTGATTTGGTTATATGGGCTGGCCAGCAAAGTCTGGGGACTCCACTGTCACTATTCCCTCAGTGCTGGGATTATAGGCACATAGTGTGCTGGCTTGTTACATGGGAACTGGGGATCTCAATTCAGATCCCCATGCTTGCTTGAACCATCTTCCTCAAGCCCAGAAATGACTTTTTTAAACTAGGAAAATGGGATGATTTCATTGAGTGTTCCATTAGTGCCCTTTTCTGCCTCCAGGAGATGCACCATACACTTAATACTCTGTGACTAAAGGACATAGCTGAGCAGTGACAGATGACACTGTGGCAACAAGTAAATTACATTATCACCTGCTAATGTGTGGACTAAACCCATTCTAGCTTCTCAGAAGAGAAAGGATAGGGGAAGTGGATCCGTGGCTGTAAAAGCAGCCACTGTGTATGATAGTTGGTTCCTTTGAGGAACCAGGATGAGGGTAGCCACACTGGAATTCAGAAATTAATCTTTGCACCTGGAATCTGTTCTTAGTACCAAGCAGTTTAGTAGTCCAAAACCTCAGGACTAGCTTGTCCATTGACCATAGTAGGAATGAGTTTAGGGCTCCAGCGAAGGAAGGTCATTAAAAATAATATTTCCTTTCAAATGATAAGTTTATATTCAGTAATGAGGAAACATTGCTGAATTTCTTTTTTATTTATGTTATGTGGTCTTTTCTGAGATGATAGTTACCTACTTCAGAAAGGTGGGAACTGTACATTTGGAGGGATGTAGGGCCTCTAGAGTTTGATGTTTTTAGGTCATTCCTAGGAGACCGCATTATAGTGCAGCCAGAAGTATGCGCCAGACAGCATTTTTCTTAATCTGTTGCTTTCAGGAAGAATCACATCAACATTTTCATACAAAACTACAGAGCACATGCCTCAAGATGATAGGAATTTCTGTGCATGATGCTCTGTCTAGCATTGTGCCTGACACTAATAGCTGCAGTATAATGTTCATGGGTGAATAGGTATTTCCATTATCAGAATTCCCCTCTCCTCACCCAGGTCACCCAATCCCTCGCACTCCTCCAAGATCCCAAGGCATCATCAGAAAATGTTTTGCATTTCTTTAACTTTCCTGATGATAATCACAACCTTGGAACACTCTTATTATGTGCAGGGTATCGACACAGTGTTGGAAACTCTGGTTCAAGGGTTCAGTCATCTTCAGGTTTCTTTTTTTTTTTTCAAGCACAGCTGATGAGTCTCTTCCTCAAGCCAACACAAAGGCAAATAGCAGGACTAAAGACTGAAAAGTCATGGGCCCTTGGTCTTTTATTCTGAGGGTGTGCCAGGTCTAGTCAACAGCATAGATAGTATGAGGGGGGAAGTAAGTCTTTTGATCTGCCTCCACTCACCTGGGCCCAACCCTAAATTATGACTCTAAGCCCCTAAAGAGACAAGCCTGATAGGAGTGGTACCCACAGCTGCACACACACTTCTGGAATTGCCCATTGAGTTTCTTGTTCCTTTTTTATTTCACAGTCAGGCTTTCTGTTCTGTCCCTTCTTCCAGCTGTCACCAGCACGTGCGTTCACAGCCACTTTTGTTGAGTTTAGCAGTGACCTCAGCCTGGTGAGCAGAGTTGACATCTGTGTCCAAAGACGGGCTGATTTTCCAGCCAGTCTCGTCACTGCATCGGAGTGTTCCTTCGAGGGTAACTGAATGAGGCTTCTGTCTTCAGAGCTCTGCCTACTGTCCACTGGAGAGGAGCACCCAGATCTAGACTGGCCCCTCCCCCTCTATACCAAGGCCTCCCACACATTTTCTCAGGCCTGAAAGGATCAGCTTGTCCCTTTGTGAGTCCTCCCGTTCTTGCCTGCAGGCTTCAGTGACCCCTGACTGGTTCATCAAGCACTCACAGTTCCTAAGGAGAAAGTTGAGGCTATAGACTAGCTTGAGAAAGAAAAATTGTCTTCTTTCATTCATGGTTCCACCGACCCTCTTCCTCCCTCCAAAAGAGTGCTGCCTCTATCCAGGGAAATAGCGTTCTGATTCAAATTCTTAAAGATTAAGCATCTAGGAAAATAAAGAGACAGTTGGGAGTAATCTCTGTGGATAAAAGTGAGAAAATATGATAGACTACTTATGGTCACCCTAGAACTACAGGGTTTAATATGTTAGTCACATATGACTATTTTAATTAATAATAAATGTTAAAAATTTAGTTCCTCATACACTACCTAATCCCTTTTGAAGTGCTCAGTAGCCACTGTGGTCACCCATCTCTTGGTCCAAGGACAAAGGGAATACTATATTGTATAGTACAGCTATAGAGAAATTTCTCAGCATGGAACATTCTATTAGATAATTTAGGTAGATGATATATTCCTCTTTATCCTGCACGTGTTTCAGTACATCATTTGATATGTGTTTGTTTCTATTTTTATAGTGCTAAGCATCAAACCCAGAGTCTCACATGAGCTAGGCAAGTGTTCTGCCCTTGAACTACATCCTTAGCCCTCAGTTAGCGATTCTTGTAGTAATGAATACTTTATTCTAGACTAAACAGTGCTGCTAAATATTGTATTAAAAAAACAAAAATAACTTGAGTTCATGGTGAGGGGGAAATTCAATCATCAGAAGACTGTATTTCCACAGCTTTCATTCTTCGATTCCCTTTCCACAAAGTATTCATTTTCCTCTCGACATTTTCCATAGATTACCTTGTTCCAGGTTAGACTCCTCCAAGTGGAATGGCACCTAAAAGAAAAGGCTCAGAGTTTAAGCAGAAGCCTATGTGGGGCATAGGGATAAACAGGGGAGCAGACTGTCTCCAAACCATGCACGGGGGAAGTGAAACAAAACGGGAAGAAGGCGGAGACTGAGAAGAGCAGGATGCTCCTGAGCCAGGAGTCTGGCTCTGGGTCATGAGTCTGAAGGTGAAGTCAGCTGTCCCTGATCTCAGCAGTCTTGAGGCTAGTAGGCTGCCAAGTGCTCATGAGTTTCTCTGGGTGGCCATTTCTCATTCATAGTCCCCTAATTCCCCGAATGTTTTTCTACAACTATGCATTCTCTACTCATTTTGTCCTGGGCTGTAATGAAGGAGACAATAGTGAGTTAGATGCTGTTTTTAGGAGGAAGAAAGTCTTCCTTGACTTCTCAGATGAGTTGTAAGAATCGTGTTATCTACAGATTCTCCACTCCCATACCCACTAGCGCACTTGTTGCAGTTCCTATAATGTTCATACTCACCTTTGGTGAAACCAGAGGAAAATGGCAGTCAGTGGAGTCAGGAGGTGGAGGGCACAACCAGGAGCCTGCAACCAGAAACCACAAGGGACAAAAACCAACATAAAATACAGACCAAAGTTCAGATAGATAGCAAGAACAATATGCAGAAGTATTCTGTGATCTTCCATCTCTTGGTCCTAGGGTGTAGTTGTCCCCATATGTATTATCGGCTTCAAAGCTTTTTCAGCCTTGAGTCAGGTTTTTTGGTGGGATCAAGCAATCTGAACTTCACCTCTACATGCTTCCCATCTCTGGCTCACCCCCACCCTGCCCCAGAACCCACTAAATGAACAAATAGAGTTCCTGATGCCTAATGGCCTGTGGGCTCTTTGTCTTGCAGCTGTCTCCAACTTGGACGCCGAGAGTAAGCTGAGAGCATACTACCGTGCACCATGGCACCAGCAGCGGAACATCTTCCTTCCAGCTACCAGGCCACCCTGTGTGGAGGAGCTGCACCGCCATGCCAGACAGAGTCTGCAAGCCCTGCGCAGAGGTAACTGATGCCAGGCTGGGGGGGTTCGGGGACATTAGCAGAAGGCTGTGCCATTTAGGAATTTTCTGTCCCATCAATCCTGTCACCTCCTTAGTTAAAGCAAGCACTTTGAAATGCTCCCATTTCTACCCTGCATGAAATCCATGCATAATATCAACTACATGTACATGTGTATTAAAGTTACCATTATGGCCTAAATATGATCACAGAGTTCAAAAAGGAAAAGTATTAATAATACTGTATCTCAATATGTAAGTGCCAATTCACAATTGTATTAGATGATATAATGAAAGCAGTTAGATGTCTGTACCACTCAAAAATAAATTTGAATTCAATAAAGACAGAAGCCATTGCAAACAAAAAGTGTGGAGAAATGAAGGAGGCTGGCTGCAGGGGAAGGAGAAGAACCATGAAAATTGGTGTATTCACCATCTATTAGATATGGGCAAAGTAAGACTTTGGCTTATAATGAAAAGGGAATTAGATTTGAGTCCGAAATAGATTCCTGGCTTCTTCCTATAGGAGATTTGGATAAGGCAATTAACTGTTGTGTGGGACATGGAACCTTTTCACTGACCATTCAGCGCCTTACAGGATGGCTGTTATGCTTGGCGCCTGCTCAATCATTCTAACAATCACAGTAAGGCCCTCAAGTGCTCTTCTGTTTCTATTGAGAATCTCTGAGCTGATCCAATGCCCTCATTCTACAGGGAGGCTCATAGAGGCTTGAAATGTGTGGAAACTTATTCAGGGTCGTGCAGGCTAGCTTCAGAACAAGTACTTGACCCTGATCCTCTGATCCCCCAGCCAGAGCTCTTTCCTACCTTTCCATATACCGTGTCTCATGAAAATAGATATTCATATTTGCTTTTCTGTCACAGCATCGAGAGCATCAAAGGCAGGCATATAATAGCCCAGGTAGAAAATGAACCTTTCCTTACTTCCCAGTGCCTTAAAACCTATGAGAATAAGACTCAAAATGCTCATTATTCTTTTAAAAACCCCAAAATGGATATCAGAAGATGGTATGCCGCATTTTCTGGCCTTTAGGTTTTTGCTCTGGAAACAGATGCTGTCTATACAATCACTGTATTTGTTTCAATATCCCTAGACTTATTTAAGGATTGATAGTTTGAAAACACATTACAATGCAAATAAAATATTTTAAAGCTCTTTTCAAGACTCAGAAAGCCCTAATAAATATTGTTTTCGTCCACATCTCTATGACTTCTGCCTTTTTTCCTTTTAATGAAACAACTGACATACAACTGTCCCCAAAGCAGTTGTTTAAAAGTTTTTGTGCAACTTATTAGTGATAAGATACTATAATACTTATAATAGAGAAAGGATGTTTACTATTCATTTCAATTTTATGGTTGGGCAAAAAAAATAATTAAAATAAAATAATTAAAATAAATTTTTCATGCAGGCCTCCTTCTGGAATCTTCCTCTCTACTGTTCTGTTCCTAAGCTCCTTTCCCATAATAACCTGTGCTTCCTCCCGACATGCACATGTAGTCATCTGTCATAACTGACCACTATGGTCCCGCTTGCATTCCACCGCTAATCTGCGAGCAACTCAAGGGTAAGGATGGTGCCTTATTAATTTATTCTATTAAGAGCACATAGCACACGCTGAGCATATGGTAGGCCCTCAATGGATTTGTGTGGAAGGGAATGAAAGCCGCAGAAGGTGGCTTGAGCATCGAAGGCACAAGATGACTACTGAGGAATTTTAGCCGTCTCACTAAATGCTTTCTTAGTAGATACCGTTCTTCTTATCATTTTATTATTAACCAGTCCTCCCTGATTAGATCTTTTACAGATTTAAGCAGGTAACACTGAGCTGCTCATAAGCTGTCATCTTTCACTGCTTCATCAGGTTTGGACTTAATGGCAGAACTGAAGAACAGCAAGTACCAATATCAATTTTTCTCTGCAGTTCCGCCTGGGGGATGAGAGATGAATATAAGGTCTTCTGGGGTTTAGATGGAAGACTCTGGAGCCTGTTTTGCCCTGTTCAGACTGGCTTGTTTTGTGGTTGGCTCAATAGCAAATCTTGGGTGTAGTAGTTTTAATAGCACTGCAGAGAGCCATAAACAGGAATTATAGGCATCATAGAATTAAAAACATGCAGTGGTGTAGAATTAAAATTAGAAAGCGACTTTAAAAAATAAATAAATATAAAATAAAAAACCTTGCCTAAGAAACAGCAATGCAGCTGTGTATCCAACAGCATAATCCACTTCTGCCATCTGGTGGTGGGGACTAATACCAAACTTGCAGACCAGGGCTTGGCTCCCTAACCTTGGCAGTGAGCTTCCCTGTGGGGAGTCTCTATTTGGACAGCTGGAATCGCTTTCGTGGAGAGGGAGAGGATGATGAAGCATGGGCAAGTAAGACTGGTTGGTTGCAGATCTGTGCTCATTTGGGAACTGAGACGAAACTTTAAATTGGATTCCTTATTGTCAGCCCCCTACCCTGAACAAACCGTACTGAAGGCCAGGCATTATGCTGGATTATAGGATTGAAAGAGCAATCAAGTGTGGTCTCCGCCTTCAAAGAATTTCTGGCGTAGCAAGGAGGATGGAAAAGTAAGCAGTTAAGTTCAATCCAGTGCTGTGGGGAATGAGCAGAAATGTACCTATCATGCTATGGAGCCTCGGGAAAATGGCACGTAAATGCATTTCAAGTTGTTTAGAATGCAATTATTGCTTTCCCTTTTTCTTAGCAATTCTTTAATGCTCAGCACCAGTAATAACTCTAAGTTATACCATCTTTTATGTTCATAAAACACACAGAGAGACTAATACATGGCTATAAAGAGATAATTATATTTTATATTTCCTTTCCTTTCAAGTTTCTGGCTGGTGTCTAAGTTCCGTTGGTCTAAAGGAGTAAGGATGAAAATTGGATTGCAATTGCAGGCCCTGGTGGACTGATATTGTCTCTTACCTCGCCAGTGGCGAGAAGTATCATTAGTGAGCCATTAATTTAGACTGCCTGCTCTCGGCCTGAGTAGAGGAGAAGATATATTTAAGACAGTATGGGAGAGAAGTGGTTGAAAGGGAAATTGAGCTGCCACCTCCTCTCTCACTCTGCTCCCTTTCCATTCTTCCTAAGCAGTGCAGCCTGTCTGCTCTGCCTAGTGAATTTAAGGACGTAAAAGATTTCCTTGTGCTGCTGTCCTTAGAAAAAGCCCACCGTTCGCTTGCAGAGAACAATGAGGGTGAAACCAGCGGTGGGAACTTTTTCAAGAAAGGCGTCTATCTCAAAATTTCTTCTTGATAGACGTTGACTTTGGAGGCAGGGCAGTGTAGCAAAAACCACCCATGGGCTGGGCTCTTTCAGGACCTGTCTCTAGTTGTGGATGAAAACCAATGTCGTTGTTGTTGTTTTTGAAGAATCTCAAACAAAGGAAGACGAGGGATACTGTCATGTTTTCCTAACCTATGTACTAAGCCTGTGACTCTAAGAAAGAGGTTAGGTTGTGAGGGCCAAAGGCAGTTAACTCCGTGGTGGAAGTCAGAGAGCTTGAGAGAACTCAGTTCCTAGTTTTGGCAGCAAAGTATTGAATGAAGCAAATAAAGATGGGACCAACCTTAAAGAGACCAGTTAAGACAAGTAATAAGATGGAGAGAAACATGGATCACTAATTATGTCAACAACACAGTTCATCATAAATGTAGGGTAATAGGATGCATTCTCTTTTCAGAAACCTAGACTTAGTAAAGCATGAAGCTGTCCAGTCCTTCAACAAGCATTTAATGATAGTCTGTTTCACAGGTGCTGTAAGACCTCTGATCAAAAGATGAATCTAATTTTGTTTCTGAACTTGGCCTTATGGCACAGACCAGTTGTGAATTCAAGAAGCTAGGCAAGGGGATTGCCGAGTTTAAAGACCTGCCTGGACAATTTAGTGAGACATTGTCTCAAGAAAATATACTAAATGGCTAGGAATATAGCATAGTAGCATAAACCTATACAACATAATCACATACCCCACCCCGCCCACACACATACCTAACTGCTCCAGGGTCCACTTAAATACAGTTCAAAAGACTGACAACTAGAGAGATGGTATTTTTGTAAAATCAATACAAGCATGCAAATGGAGATTATACAGCCTTGAAAGAAAGGACATCTGACATCACCTGAAAGGATCAGCTTAGTTTGCTTTCCATCAACCACAGGCAAAAAGAGGCAAATGGTACCTCATAAGTCATAGTGTTGTAACTGGTCAAAGAATTCAGTTGCAGCAAAATATAATTATATTCAAATACTGCAAAATCCAAACGTCTTGCTCCAACAAGTGATGTATATTTGTCCTTTACAATGCCCGTAGGTCAAGCTGTATCAAGGTTGATGACACAAGAACTATGTCTGTACCACTCACCACAGAACAGTGACCCTTTCTTCCTGCATCTGTTTCCACATCTGCAGATGAGGGGGCAGCTTGATGCCCATTTGTGTGGGGTTGCTGAGAAGTTGCAGATGAAAGCCTTAGCAAAGCATTTCTGGCACATGTCAATAAATGTTGGGAATTGGGAATAATATTGTACATGATATGAGTGATACTAACCTTAAACAATGCAAAGACAGAATGAAAACTGGGATATACAAATTTGTACCTCGATCATGACAAAACTTCAAGCTCTGAGGGTGAGTGTAAGCTATATTTCAGAAGATAGACAACGTTTAGTGTAAGCAAGGGGTGTTCTAAGGTACATGAAATACTGGAAACCTAAATTGTATTTCGAGCATCTCTGTGACATCTATTTATTTATTTATTTTGGTGATGCTGATGATCCAACTCAGGACCTTATCTCAGTGATTCTTAGTACTTAACCCCCTCCCCCCGATATTTCTTAGCTTTCCCACAAAGGCAGCTTTATCCTGGAGTAATAAGAATGGTGCCACTGGGATTGTCTTGCTTTCTCTGGGAGCACAAGATTATAAAACCGTTTGAGTCTCTGTGGGTAGCAGGAAGAGGAGGATGTAGATGGCAGCATTGGTGTGCTTCTTACCCACTTTCCTGGGGGAAAACATAGAAGATAAATAAAACACCCAGTGCCTAACATTTGTCAGTTTCTGTGATATAAATACAGTCGCCATAGCCAATTTCAGGTATCTATAGTTGAAAAACTGACTCATAAAATCTCCCTTCCTGGAGCTAGTGGCACCTAGGGCCAGCAGCTATGGTATGGCTGCATCTTCTCTGCACTTTAATCCTCGTGCTGGCAAGCCTTCCGCCATTGTTCTTAGCCTTGTGAGATTTTGAACTTAGAAGTGTTGAATTTATAAAAGTAAGCCACCATGTACCAAGACTATAAGATGGACCCATAGAGATGGGTGTATCTGCCATCATATTCACAGTGAACATTCAGTTAGGAACCAGTCTAAAAATCTGATGCGGCACATAGATTAACTAGATTAATGAAAGTTCACCTTTTTTTTTTTTTTTTTTTTTTTGCAGCTCTTTGTTAACACTGTCGAGAGGGGAAGAACAATTGAAACTATCAAGTGTGTTTGATTATGTTTATCTCTTCTGCGCCCGCAGAACACCGGAGCCGAAGTGATCGTCGCGAGCAAAGACCTGCTGCTCCCCTGTCCATAGCTGCTCCACCACTGCCAGCCTACCCTCCTGCTCACAGCCAGAGGAGGCGTGAGGCCAAGGACCGCCATTTCCTAACGGTAAGCATGGTGGCTGCTAGCTGCCTGCATTTGCTCTTCTGGAGCATTGAGTCCCTCTCTGCTCAGTGAGGGAAGCTGGGCTGGCTGTTTGAGCAGGCATAGGCATGTAGGAACTCTTTTCCTTTTGGGGTATACACACACACACACACACTTGCTAGTTGTGTAATACAGAAAATCAATAATTGTTAAGGACTCTGAAATCAGAAGACAATTTTACTTCAAATCCCAGCTCTTCTTATATGTTAGAGTTTAGGATTATTTCTTTCCCTCAGTTCCTTCCTTTGCAATAAGAGGATATTATTTATATAGTTTAATAGGGCTTGAATATGTACAGAGCTTCGCACAGGGACTGACGGACACAGACTAAGACACCTATAAATGTTAACCACACTGCTACTGCCATTATTACCAGTCTAACTCCACAGGAGAAGCTGGAAAAGAACTTATGGGATGTGAAAAGTTACCACTAGAATCAATCATAAGTTCAAGCTTTCCCATTCAATGTAAGAGGCTACTTCCCTAGGGTAATCTATTAGCTCACTGACATCATCACTGCGGGTGGTTAGAGCCTAATCTGGGGGGATGTGGCTGTAACTCAGGCCAAGCTCTCAAGGGTGGACTACAGATGATGACGCTGGGCCTGAGTGGAAACACCTGCAAACTCCATCAGCAGCTGCTGCGAACACTTCATCCCACATGCGCCCTCTGGGGCCTCGGTGGGGAGAAGTAAACATTTGCTTCTGTGTACTTGTATCATCGAAGTCAGGAATTATGGTTTCACGACCAAGCCAGTCCAGATTGTCGTCAAGCTTGCCAGCGCGCCTACTCTCTTATTTCGGGTTCGAGGCCTGACGTCTAAAGAAGTTACAGCCCTGCATGGAAGAATTGAGGATTTTGTTTGAAATTGACCGCATGACTCTAAACACTGCAGCAGTATGCAATATGCAAAATAGTGCAAAATGTCCAGGTTCCATGATGTCAAAAATTCAGATGGAAACATATTTCACCTAAATGAATTTGCATGTTATAACATCCACATAAGAACTTGAATGAGACTAGATGCCCTACAGGTATTTTTCCTGTTTGCAGTCAGCTAGTAGGCACTGTGTCCTTGAGTTGAGTATGTACTGGGCACCATACTGTACTCACCACATTGCTGTGATGTAACTCAAGAATAAGAAGGAGGTTATGATTTTCTGATCCATCAGACAGAATGCTATACATGGTAGTGAAGTGCTATAAAAGTCCCTACTCGATACAAGTTCTTACTAAGCTTAAATACGCTTCCCAAAGTGTTTGCTTCTAATGAGGTATTTTCTGCATAAAAATGCTAAAAATATTTTCCCATTCATTATAATATGTTTGCGGCTCATTAAGTTGGTTTTCTTGGGGAGGAGGTGAGACAAAAATTTTCAGTGCTTACAGAGGTGACAAGAAAATATAATCCTTTTTATAATCTGCATAATTTTTAATGACATCTAAATAGCTAAATAAGATGCTGGGAAAAAGACTTTAAGTAGTGACTAGCAATAACTGTGCTTCGTTTACCCAATAGATAGCAATAAGAGGATCCTAGATTATACTTTGGTAAACATCTGAAAGTTTGCCTATCTTGAATTTCTCAATTCTTGAAATGTCCAAATCACTTGGGGGAATTTTGTTTACAGTTGAGTTTGGGTCATCAATTTCCTTAGAAGATTTTCCATTCAAGTTAGACCTCACAGACTTGGCTAGAATATGTTTCTATGTTTTTAGCTTGAAAGGCCATATGTTGCTTAAAGAGTAAAGGTTACAGGAATAAGGATAGGAACTTTGTAGACAAAACCCTGGATTCACATTTTCTTAGAGAACTATTAGATTTATATTTTATTAGAGAGTAGCTTTCTTTTTTTAATCTATAAGACTTAGTTAAGCCATTTCTTCTTCCTTTTAAAAAATATCCATAATAAGTCTCCAGTATAGATTCCCACTGCTATGTTGGGCACTATAATACATTCTGGTTAACAATGGCATGGTCTGTAGTGGCAAACTGCCTGAACTGGTACACTAATTCTACCATATAAACTGTGCAATTCTAGACCAGTGCATCCTTCAAATCATTGTCTTAGCCATAAGAATTGATAACGCCTTATAGGTTTGGCACTAAAAGTTGAATGTGTTTGTGAGCAGTGGTAAGCACTCCGTAAATATTAGGCCTGATGACGACGATGAGGATGATGGTTGATGATGGTAATGAAGATGATGATAGCTTGTCATCAAGTCCTTAATGTGTCTGTCATTTAATGACATGATTGTAGGTTTAAACCCCAACTGTTTAAATTTTGTGATTTGGAAATGGTTGTTGTATCTTTCTGAATCCTGGTTTCTTTCTGTTTTTTTATAATTAAATTCCAGTTTCTTTGTCTGTAAGATAGGGATAAATCATTTCAACTTTACAAGGTCATTAAGTATATTTCATGTGATACTATATAAATAAGATTAGATCATGTTTATGCAAGTCCCTAGCACAGTGCTAAAATATTTGAGTATATGAACCTATATTCATAGTCAATTTTAATAAAGCTCTTATCATCAAATGAAAGGCCCGTAATATATATAACCTCATAAAATTAGAGAAAATATAAATCACTACACTCTTTCCAGAGGAGAAGGAAAACTCTAAATATTCATGCACTTTCTTCCAGCAATTCCACATCTGGGAATTAACTCTAAGTCTATGTGAAGATTTATTCATTAATATGTTCATCAAATCAAAATTTTAATAGGAAAATATAAATAAATATATACATCCCAAGTGTCCAAAAAAGAGCTTACTTTAACAAATTTTTATATACATTCTATCCTATAGGAATTAACAAAAATCATAGTATTATATAAGAATATTTAATGACATGAAAAAATGTATACTTTATTACTGAGGATTTTTAAACAGAGTATCATCTCAAACCATGTGTAGGAGAGAATATCAGTAGATAAATTACTAAAAAAGCTATATAACTTTGTTTCCCAAACTGTTAACTAAGATGTCCTATGGCAGTGCCATGAACTTATACAAAGGCCACAGGATACTAGAACATTTTCAAGTGACACAGTGTCTTCACTCCAGTGACACCTGCCAGTGATTCTAAAGTAACTCCACAATTCCTATAAGTAAGAAGGGATGCTGTTTCTTATCAATTAATTTACCTAAAAGATTCTTCAAGAGGAATTCACATAAAAAAAGAACTGGTTAAATTTAGCTTAAATCCCACTATTAGGTGAGAATTTAAGTAGTGTCCCTAAATACCAGCACCCTCTGTCATCAGGATGCCAAAGGAGGTGATTGATTTTCTAACAGGAGTATCTTTTCCAATCTGCTCTTGAATCTGAAGTTCTACCATTAGCAACTGTGTATTTCTTTCTTATTGGAAGAGGCACCAGCCTTGCCTATGAATTCAACTTTGGGTAATCAATTTTAATAAATGATTGATAATGAAAAGAAAGCAAAATTTAGGAAATTAATTTTAGACATTCTCTTCATAATCTGAGGTGCAGAAAGAGGACCAAAGCAACCCTCTCCAAACCCACATCTTCACATAGCATCTCAACATTCTGATTCATTCTCTATGGAAAAATACAGTTTTTCATTGATCAAGGACCCCAAGACTTGTTTGGACATAGCTGGCAGCCAAATGTATAAAGTTTATGTATATATATCCAGATCGATAAGAAAGAGAAATAGCCTAAGGTCAATTCTTTAGCCACACAGGTGGACTTTTGTCTACAAATGTATGTGTTAGTGACTCTTTATTGCGGGCAGGAGAAATAAGAAAAGAAGGATGGCACCGAGATGTGTGTTTGTGAACTGAACAAAAACTCGGTGACTGAAACTCATTTGTCTTCAGGTAGAATGCTTGAGGAATTTTCTCCTTGCCTAGGTCGTAGTCAAATTAGGAATGTCAATCAAGTGGCAATCAGGCTATGAGACATTTGTCAGAACTGAAGCAGGTAGCCTCTTCTCTGCAAATACACACGAGGGTTAGCAATCTTGGTCAAAGCCATTCCAGAGAAATGAATTCAAGATGGTCCTTGCAGAAATTTTTGGTAAGAAGCAGTATTATTTTTTAAGTGCTCAAGTGCTGTTGATTGGAAAACTTCTCGCTTGAGAGAGTTCATAGTGTGTGTGTGTGTGTGTGTGTGTGTGTGTGTGTGTGTGTGTGTGTGTGTGTTTGTATACCAGTGTGTTAGTGTGTATAGAAAAGCATACTAATCCTTCCATGCAACTGAGGACGGTGATATAAGAAGTACTTATCTCCCAGTATTTTCTTCAAAATTGATACAGAACAGCAAGGTTGAAAAACAACGTTACACAACCAAAAACACACCATCAAAATTTTTAGGACAGAGAATACCCCAAACACCAAATTAGTATGAATTAAAAAGAGAAAAATAAGCACCAAGTCTTCGTCTTGTCACAGAGGCATGGAGTATAAATTTTGAAAATAAAAAACTGCATGGAAGTATGGAACTAGAGTGCATCTGGAGGTTGAAATCCCCCTCCAGAAAAGTTCAATCTAGCCTATGCCTGAAAATACTTCTAAAACATTGTTCAAATAGACAAATCAATAGGAAATGAATTTTAAAATATGTGTACCATGCAGTAGCTGCCATCCATCCATATATGGAAGTTTGAGAGGAGAAAGGGCAGAAAGAAAGGCATACACACCCTTTAGCAGCTAGAGATAAAGAAACCAAAATCAAACCTCAGATTAGAAGGACATGTAACTGCTGCCCTGCTAAGAGCAAAAACTAGGATACTGAAATATTTGGATTTGGGCATAGTGAAAAAAAATATGCTGCCATTAAATCAGGAATCTTGGGAAACACGCTAATGCTACATAGGTGAATAAAATAGATTAGAAGAACTATGTAAGTACTGGAAATATTAGTGAAAGAATGCAGGAGGTCTGGATTTTATAGCAAAGTAACATCTTCTTCAACTACTACACTATAAAAAGAGC